CTGTTAAGTGATAAGGAGAATGGCCCCAGGAACAGTGGATCTTAAAAAGGGTTCTATTTTTGTTGATCTTCCAGACCTTCCAGATTTCATAACAACTTTATTGATCCCTAGTCTATAACTCAGGTGGCATCATAGTTCCATATAAAGATACACGATGCACGATCATGACATACACCCCCCTCAAAAAATTAACAAGCCTTACTCTACATTAGGTAACCTGTCCTTGTTTGATTATGTTAGGTAGAAAAATCCCCAAATTCAACAAAATTGCGCATGCGCGTATGCACAAGTGCCGAGATATGTCAGATTCATAAAAAAATATGAATTTTGAAAATCGCAAAATAATTTAAAACAGGTTTAATGCGTGGGGTTCCCAATACAATGCTTATGATGAGAAGTGGGGTTAAAATATTTTCATCGTTTTAGAAAAATAGTAAAAAAAATAGTAAAAGAGCAAAAGAATGACGGGTTAAGGTTTCAACGATCGTGCCGTGATTTTCTAATTAATTTATTAATTGTTCGAGTTTACATACATTTACGTTGTGGCCTTATTGAACTATTTAGCCATAACACAATTGAGGACAGATATTGTATCCATACAAAGTAGGACAATTCTCCCCGAGGGACAATTACCTTTTACATCGTGATGCTAGCAGCACGAAATTTGCTGTCTTAATCTACATTTCAGGCACGGTGAAACAAATCTCGAGTATTTCTTGTAAATATCAAGCATGTAATATGTATACGTATGTTCTCTGCAATTTTTGTCAATCAACGATTTTCCATCAATCCCCAAATGACGTGTCTTCGTAATCAAAGAACATGTTTGAAACTTGCTTGTCGGTACAGTTGTGTCAAGCACCATACGGCACTACAAGCCAAATGAGTATTGATGGCCCGATATTAGGTAGGTTAAGCGTCACGTTTTTGAAAGAAGGGTAAACTTAGCGTTAAAGAACTCGTGCATGAATTCGTGTAATAATTATGACCCATATAGACTGCTGTCCCCCTCTCAATTCGTTTTCCAAGGACTAATTGCAACTATTTCTCTTCTACTTTTAGACTCAGTTGGGCAAATGAAAGGTTGGAATTGAAGAGAAGAACTTACTCATATAGGACCATAATATTAAACGTTCGCGTTATTGTACGTGAACGTGTACAGTTTTGATCCTCAGAGGATACGTCCTCATCTCCGTCGTATTGACTTGCCCAAATGACTAAGAGGTATAAGAAATTGTTGTAATAAGATCCCTGAAAAAGACGATGTAATTGAGACAGTAATCCCTGGGGTCATAATATAACACGTTCACGTGTACGTTTTTTTTAAACGCGTAGCTTAACCTCCTTATTACCATTACGAATTGATGTTTATAAAATACTACAAGCTTATTGAATTATACTTTATCAAAAATGTCATCATTTGTTTAAATTAAAGGAGAAAACGAAAAGCAAGGAGAGTAATTCTAAAAATATCAACCTATTTCGTAAAATGTATGTGTTCTGTTTTTACTTTCATGTTGATGCTTTGGTTTTTAAGCGTATTGGGCAACAATTCTGAAAGGTCGACGTCCCATTCCAAGTCGAATTTAAAAAAAAAATTAATTTCTGCATTCCAATCTCCATATCTTCGAACTTCAGTCCGTATCTTATCAGATATATCTTGATTATTTTTTCAACTCAATTTATTTATAATGTAGGGCTCGATCTGACCCCAGGATGAAAGAATCGGGATAGTAGGATTATTCCCTGGGGCCACCATGTCTGACTCCCTGTCTAGCGTAACCATTAGTGTCACCCACCCCCGTTCTGATACAATAGCTTATTTGGTTTGCGATAATCACATATTTATTTTTAGCGGCGTTCGATAGAGAGCGTATCAATTTATTGATTTTTAACAGAATACCTAAATAAAGGTTGAAGTAGAGGAGGAGAAATCCACAGTTTTTAATTGTCTCTTCCTTTCACTGTTATATCACGCAGAGACTTACACTCCCCTCCATAAGTTTGGCAATCGGGAATATCAATTTGATAGCATATCATGAGCCTGTGGATGTTTTAATCTTAATTTTGTGTCTCAATTTCACGAGTTCGAAATTTTATAAAAAATGTGATGAATTTTTCAAATCGCCAAATCTTAACAGGTTTTGATAGGCGACCAAAGAGGGAACTTCCGATTGCGAAATTTATGGAGGGGAGTGTACAATAACATGTAATATAAAAGAAAATGCAATATAAAATATAATAATTATCATTTGCCACTGTATCACGTTATATTCTACCTTGAAATGACAGGATATCAGACATCAGTTTGGCGTTTTGTTATGATAATTAATCAAAATTAAATATAACAATAACTTCCCGACGTGAATCAATTTACATTCCCATCTATAAGTTGATAACCGCATGTTTCCTTTAAAAGCGTGTAACAGTCTGGTAATGTTTGAATCATTATTATTTTTTATTTATTACAATAGTTGGGACATTTGTGACAAATTTGATTTCTTATAAATCGACAAATATAAACGTTAACCGGCTTCAGATCAACACGCGATCAAGATGGGTACTTCCGGTTTTCCAAATCAATGGAAGGCGTATGTATTGAGGGGAGTTTGTAAAGTTAGTCAATTATCTAAGTTAATCGATATTTTGATATTTTGATTAAAGTGTCAACAAAGACTACTTTTAAAAACTGAGATTAACACAATTTAGCAAATTATAATTCATAAGAAATAAAAGTAAAATTAGGGATATCAGAAAGACATTTGGACATTTTCCGAAAAGATTGCCAGCGCTTATATAATTTTATTCTCAACTGTCAGTTTTAATTCATATACCTCGGAATTCTAGAAAAATATTACCCTTTGGAATAATTTGATATCAGGTTCTAAAAGAGACCTTCCTCTTATAAAGTCCAATATTCTCTGGTTTAACAATTAAAACAATGTGTGACAAGGGGACAGATGGTAAATATTCGTGTAAACTCGATCTATGTTACATCGTGTATCTATTGAGGGTAGTGTAGCCTGTAGTGGACTACATGTACGAGTGTAGCCTGTGTATGACTACACGTACGAGTGTAGCCTGTGTAGGACTACATGTACGAGTATAGCCTGTGTATGACTACACGTACGAGTGTAGCCTGTGTAGGACTGCACGACCGAGTATAGCCTGTGTAGGACTACATGTACGAGTATAGCCTATGTAGGACTACACAGCCGAGTGAAGTCTGTGTAGGTCTACATGTACGGGTATAGCCTGTGTATGCCTACACGTACGAATGTAGCCTGTGTAGGACTACATGTACGAGTATAGCCTGTGTAGGACTACACATACAAGTGTAGCCTGTGTAGGACTACACGTACGAGTGTAGCCTGTGTAGGACTACATGTACGAGTATAGCCTGTGTAGGACTACATATACGAGTGTAGCCTGTGTAGGACTACACGTACGAGTATAGCCTGTGTAGGACTACATATACGAGTGTAGCCTGTGTAGGACTACACGTACGAGTGTAGCCGTTATATGACTACATGTACGAGTATAGCCTGTGTAGGACTACATGTACGAGTGAAGCCTGTAAAGGACTTTATGTACGAGTGCAGCCTGTATAGGACTCTACGAGTGCATGTCACGCATGTTTAAGTAATTACTATTCGTAGATACACCTTCCTGTGTCTGAAAGACACATTATTATCATCCTTCAAAAATAACTTTAAGAGCTATGTATATGGATATGTTCGTCGTAGACATCTAAATATTTATTAAAAGGCCTACAGCTTCTCATTGAATATTTGCGTGTCAAATGTGAAAGCACTAGTACTGTATCTTTATAAAAGGTTAGTTCGCACCTACTATTGTAGTAGTTTTTAAATCCATTAGTTTACGAGAGGATTTAGAAGTTATAATCAATGCAATATTTACGATTTTTCTGTCTCCCAATATCCTCTATTAGATTCGACTATTGTTAGGAAACTAATGGTTGATAAAGGCAGCTATACACTCCATTGCATGTTATGTTAAAGTTGACGTAAAACTCAAAATAATTTTGCGAGATCTGCCACATTTCTTACTGTACATTAACCGATCTGCGTCACCGCCTAAATTTATTAATGGATTTTCCTCTGATTTTAATATTTCAAGGTTTTTGGCATATCTATCTATTTCAAGCGCGTGTCATTAGAACAATGCCCTGTTAAATACTTTGCCAATCTGGGTCATTTTCGGGAACTTTGACCGCTTTCGTTACTGGTATCAAAAACAAGTTAAACACACTTGGGAGTAGATTATCGCTCGTTTGTACATGTTATATCGTAAGAATCCATGAGAATTTACGAAAGCTATTTTTAAAATCAGTTTTACAAGACCAGAAGCGACGTTATATTAATTTTACGAACATATCACCGTTGTTGCCAAATGAGATTTTCCTGAAACTTTTAACACACCCTTCAAATACATGAAATAAAACGTACCGTACGGACTTGTCCAATAAACAAATAACTAAACGAACAAAGCGCATGGAAATACAACTAATTCATCACCCCAAGCTGTCTTTTTAGCATGCTCCATTTGAAATAACGGGTACAAAGCTAGGAAATGTACTGTGGATTCATAGGGTGCATTCGTATTCGTAATCGTGTTTTTCAAGACGCAATTGAGTATCCCCACCGAACGTTTTTTCTTTCTCCTTCGGATGTTGTCCCGCACGAATTCGTTTGGATGGCATCGGAAACGCTGATTTGACTTGATTAGGAAACATATATTCTATTTTGATTTTGAGTATAAGTAGCATAAACGAGAAACAATTTTCATGCATTAGTTATGCCCAATTAAGGGTCTCAAGGATGCATTCGTAAACACTTAAAATGCATTTAGTATATTATGCTTAGAATTCTTTAAAGGTATCATGGAATATCTTTTACAGAGCTGATTTAATAAATTAAGACGTTTGGACTCCGTTCTTACAAAGTAAGAAAATTATCCTACACAAGACACAAACTTACCTGGGTTTTTTAAGTTTCTACCGACGCAGCTTAAGTTTTACTGATGTTGATATTTTATCCTTCAACTCCAGTAATATTAGTCTCAAGTTTGATGTTATATGTTTCAACAATAGTATCTCTTTCTGTTATATTAGTGCTGCCTGCTGTCTGTCGAAGCCCCCGTCTTATAGTGAAGTTTATCGCGTTCTCTCTCTCTGTCTCTCGTCCCGCCCCGTTCGTCTCAAACTTTGTCTTGCTTATTAGTGGAGCATGTTGCGCACTAGTTCCCAACCTTCGCTAATTTTAAATGCCCATAATAGACGGTAACAGTGATTTCCAATACAATTAATTTGTTAAGTGTCGTATTCAGTTCTGATTAGTCGTTTCGAGTGTATCGTTAGCGTATTTGAACGCTTGTTGTCATGCCTAAGGTTTTGACGTAGTTGCGTCGACGTAACATTAACCTACTCGGCCTAACCCGAATGAAATTGAGTTTAGCTAACCACTCACGAGATTTAACAATAATAACTTTTAACCTCCGACCACTACAACTCACTTCCGCTCGTATACTTGAAAATCATAATATTATATATATTTCGAACTGCCACATGTATTGAATTTAATAATGTAAAACAAAGAGCGTTCATTCAAAAAACTGAAAAGCGTTTACTTTGCTTTGTTTCGTTTATCGAGCACATCAAGCCGCTTACTTTGGAGAATTAGGCCTACTCCAATCGCCCACTGATTTACCTGGTAGACATTCACTACCCGATCCCGATCTCCTAGACCCAGTTCAAAATTTCGAGAGAATATAATGACTCAGTTCTGATCTACTTCTTTGAGTAGTATTATGAATCAAATTTTCACTGACGACTATTATAGTACACCGCGTACGTTAGATTTCCAAACGTTAGAGTTCTGAAGGTGATTTGAAATAAAACTCCAAAGCTTAAAGTTTATATTGTCTGGAAAAACGTTACTTCATATTCTGTTTTCTCTTTTTCCATTTCATTTATGGTGAACGAATGGTAGATTAGATTATATAGATTTGAATACACAAACAAGGCACACGACGTGAACGAGATCACGTCATCAAATAACGAGACAATGTATGGAGAAAGCCCGATGAGCAGTTTTCTGAAATGGCGATGACAATTTTTTTCGAAAAACCTTCAAAATGGCCACCAGAAAACAAGATGGCCGCCCAAAAGGTAATCGGTTCTAGAACTTGATATCCTCTATCATATGTGCGAATTTGGAGAAAATTTGAAGAACGGTTTTCCTGATTTGGCGATCACAAGAAAAAACTTCAAAATGGCCACCAGAAAACAAGATGGCCGCCCAAATATCATTTCTAGAACTTGATATCCTCTGTCAAATGTGCGAATTTGGAGAAAATTCGAAGAGCGGTTTGCCGAAGTGTAAAAAGGTTTCTTTTTACTGGATGAGCGTGGTGTAAAAGTGGTTTTGAAAAATAGCAAATTTCTCTTTATGTAGGTAATTTGTGGTTTATGATTCTACATTGATTCTGAAAATACTGGTGTCTAGTTTTTCAGCGTTTTGGAAATATTCAGATTTATACCCCCCTTGTTTGATTTTGAGGGGGGTACTAGGAAGGCCATGTAAAATTCCTAGAATTTACAACCAATCATTTTGATATTTACAGGTAATCATGTACTTATCATGTCCTACAAAAGTAATAAGTTTCATCAAAGTTAGTCAACTGGTTGCTATGGAAACGGAGATCATATGTCAAAAAGTACACAATTTCGTCAAAATGTAAGACACCCCATGAGACAAAACACATATTATTTTAATGAAATTGGAAAGAAACACCACAAAAACATTTTAGAAAACTTATTCAGAGTATGTTTGATAATATTAAATCAAGTGCTGTTTTATCCTATCCACACCACTAGACAAAGAGGTTGGAATTAACACATAATAATCAGCGATTAATTTTTTGGAATAATCATTAATAACCAGACACAGTCTGATCCTGACCTAATTATAACTTTTAAAGGCTAGATACAATGGCAACAGGCATGTCCTGGCGATAATCACTTTTTTCTTTACTGAATAACCGACCAACTGATTATCGTGATTGATTAAACTTCAAAGGGCTAATTACAAATGACACTGCTGGAATACAATCTCTTGTCTAAATAAAATGATCAACCTGTCTGTGATAAGAAGTATAAAGGAATTTAAAATGTATCTAATATATTATACAATTAGACAGACTGGCTATTTTAATCCGTTATGAAAAGCCATTTGTCTTTTCCACAACAGGATGTTTCTACAGAAGTTAATTTGTTTATCTTAGTGTTTAGAGGCATTGTCCCTTGACGCTTTTATGAAATAAATGAACTTTGTGATGGGCTACAATTGTATATTCTTACATTACATTATTTTCATTTTAGGTCTCTCTTATTACATGTAGTTGCATTGCAGAAGTCTAATGTTATTCTCTCCGTGTGCCGAAAGTACTTATACCCGTAGCCAAGGGGTGGGGGTGGTTCAAGGAGTGCGAGTGAACAGAATTCGAATTGAATACAAAATAAATACGTAACATATAAATATATAAGTACATAATGTCTAGCCAAGTCTTCTTACATTTTCTGAACTTCAAATGCACCTTTTGACGTGTGGTAACAAAATACAAAATAAATACTTATGTTTCTCCAGCTTGTTTTTATATTAATTTGGCAATAAAACATGCATAAAGAGATAACAAATTGTGCACTGTGCACAACCCGAATCCCCTCCCCGATCGGGTCGCGTTTACTGTGTATGTAATAATGTACAAAAGTAATGTAATAAAGGTTCTGTTTGACATTCGAGAACAAGAATTTGTCCAGTCAAAAATAGATTTCTAATATTTGATCTTGATCAGATGTATTTATTGATCCTTGTTTTTAAAACTACAGATGGTTCACTCAATTCTGAAGTAAACAAAAAATAATCCTATACACGATTACTTGGTTCCCATGATACTGCCTATAAGCTATAATACTCATTTATCAAAACAAATATTAATTAATCCGTCCGTCTGATTACATTTTGTTCCCTGGCTCAAACTAAGCAAACCCCGATTACAGTTCTTAATTCTTCACTTGAAACGATTTAGCCAACATGATACAATATTAAATTTGATTAATTATACACGTATAAAGCCTAGTGTTATCAAAACCCATAAATGCTCACAATATAAATATAGTTTATTGTTATAACACAATAACATATATCAGGGGCGTAGTCAGGGGGGAGTGTGATTGCCAAAAATATTTCGGTTTTCAGTCAGGGGGGGTGATTGTGACATAAACAAGGGGGTGCGATTATGACATAAACAAGCCAAAAATGATTTTTATATTGAATTTTACAAAAACTGGATCCAAGTTCCTTCCAAAGTGAGCTAGAAGCTTCAAATAAAAAGCATTTAAAAGCTCTTTGAGTCCTCTTTCTCAGGGTTTTTAATCTTTATTGGTTTTCGCAACCCCCCCCCCCTCCTCCTTGGCTACGCCTATGGATATTTAGAAAGTTTCAAATCAATAACTCGGCAACCAACCACGCAAGTAACCAACCAAGCAACCAAGCAAACGACCATCCAAGAAAGCAGGAAACTAAGCAAGTAAAAAAGCAAACCATGCAACTTACAAATAAAGCAAGCAAACAACAGACAAACGAACCAAGCAAGTAGCTAATTAAACTCTAATGCAAGAAACCAAGGAAGCAGCAAAGCAACAAAGAAAGAATGTTAGCAAGTAAACGGCCAATCAAGCAATCAATCGTGCTAATAAACAAGCAAACAAACAATCTACCACCCAAGCAACTAATTAACATAATTCAATAAGATTAAAATTTAACCTTGCGCACATTTGCTCTACGGTAATAATGAGTAATATAGAACTATCATATTGATTGCATTTATTAAACACAGAAATGAAACACATTGGAGCATACATGTAGTTAAATGATTGGGGATGGGAGGGGGTAGTGAACACACGGGATACTGAATTCTTCCTCTTAAACTTAATTTTCAGTGCTTGAATGAAGGCTTCCCTTTAACAGATTTAGGGAGTTTCACTGAGATTGAAGTTTTTCAATTGTCTTTGTTATAACATCTTATTTCAATACACTGGATATTATGTAAAAGTATTGATGTGTATTTCTTATTCCCGACAATCGAATTTCATATTATCAAACATTTTAATTATTATAGTTTTACAGTGGTATCACAACGTTATTGCTTCTATAAATGCAACACATTTACCAGATTTTGGATTGGACTTTCTACACGATGATAAAATATTTTCTTGGTGATATTCTTTAATTACTACTAATTAGTATAAACTATTGATTGAATTGCAGAAATCTGCTGCATTATAATTGCTAATGAAAAATCTCGAATCCTGGTAATTGAAGTTGGACAGCTGAATAAAATCTAACATTAAATTCTAAAAATGTGTTTCTTTTATTTTTTGTTTGGTTGATAATGAATTAAAAAAAAGATATTTGAATGAAAAATTCAATTTCGCAAAAACTCATATTCTTTAGCTGGACAAAATCTATAGTTTGTTTATTCAACGGATAATAATTGGAAGCGCTAGACGCATAAATGCAGACGGTTCTTAATTGCTAATGAAAACAAAGCGATAATCAGTTGGGGGAATAATCACTTGACATAATAATCAGTTGGAATTTTTGCCATTGGCTACACATTAATAAGAATTGATTATCGTAATAACCAGTGAAAACACTGGTTATTTTTGATTAATAAGTCTCGATAATCAGCGATAACCAGCAATAATAGTCTCGATAATAGGTTTTAACCAGATAATAATCATTTATTCACTGATTATTTGTGATTAAAATTGTTTATATTTGGTCACTTCGCCCAGTGCACAGTGAAATCTATTGCTCATGATTATATGGCAATGCAAATTAATTTAGAAAGGGGACGTGGCACTTTTCCAAAGAATTCTTAACTTGTGTCCAAATTGTTGAAGAAAATAAATAACCAATTGTCCTGTTATGTACAGATATTATTCACATCATTATGTTTGACTATCATGGAAAGTTTCATCAGTGTTGGTTTACTGGTTACTATACTATGCAGATTTATACCCCTTGGTATGATTTTTAATGGGGGTACAATGAAAGCCATCTATAATTCCTAGAATATACAGCCAATCATCTTGATATTTACAGGTAATCGTCTACATATCATGTCTTACAACCATGACAATTTTCATCAATGTGTATCAATTGGTTGCTATGGAAACATAAATCATTTTTTCAAAAGTACACATTAAGGGAGGTACTATGAAAGCCATATATAATTCTTAGAATATCTAACCAATCATCTTGTTATTGGCAGGTAGTTATCTACTCACCATGTTCTTCCACTATGACAAAGTTCATAAATGCGGGGCAAATGGTTGCTATGGTAACAGAAATCATTTGTTAAAA